GCCCCAACTCAACGGAACTCACTCGTACCTCGCTCTTTCCGTCACACATCCGCTCCCCGTACGCACCCCCCTGGACCCCCCCCTCAAAAGGGTTCGCCCACACCAGAACGTCATCACTCGTGCCTCGCTCTTTCCGTTACCTGGGCCCGCCAAAGAAACGGAAAGAGCGCTTCAGAAAGAGAAACCGAAATGACTCACACCACCGTTCGTTCTGGGAGCCTTGGCGTTGAGAGCTCGTTACGTCACCCCGCGCTCTTGGGAGCCTTGATGTTCAGAGATTGCTGCGTTACCGCCTGTTCCTGAGCCATGACTGGGCCTTGGTGTCAGGAACTTATGACGTCACCGCTCTCTGCTGGGAGCCTTGGTCTTATCAGCTTGTTTACGGCATCGTTCGCTCTTGGGAGCCTTGGTGTGAAGAGCTTGTTGCGTTACCGATCGCTCTTTATTTGGTGTCTCTGGGCCTTCCTGGGAGTCCTATTGGGGCCCTTTTCGAGCCCTTTTGGAGGCCTCTTGGGAACCTCTTGGGGGCCTCTTGGGGCTTCTTGGGGGGCCCTGGGGGCCTCCTGGGAGCTACTGGGGACGAAAGGCTGGACTGTTCGGTTCGTGGTCCCCCTGTTGGGGCTGTCTTGGGGCCCTCTTGGGCCGTCTTGGGCGCCTCTTGGGCCGTCTTGGAGCCCTCTTGGGCCGTTTGGGAGGCCTCTTGGGGGCCTCTTGGGCCGCCTTGGGGCGGTCTTGGGGGCCTCTTGGAGCGTCGTCAACGCAGTGAAAGCCGAAAAGCCGTGCATGCTGAAAATTTGCCTTTTCCCATGGGGAATCCATGCGTGTGGCCTCTTGGTGGCCTCTTGGGGCGCCTCTTGGGGGCCTCTTGGGGCTTCTTGGGGGGCTTTTGGGGCCTCCTGGGAGCATCTTGGGGCGAAAGGCTAGACTTTTCGGTCCGTGGTCCCCCTCTTGGGGCCGTCTTGGGGCCCTCTTGGACCGTCTTGGGCGCCTCTTGGGCCGTCTGGGCGCCCTCTTGGGCAGTTTTGGGGGCCTCTCGGGAGCCTCTTGGGCAAGGCCGTGAAAGCCGAAAATCCGCATATGCTACAAATGCACGTTTTCCTTCGGAAAACCAATGAGTTTGGCCTCTTGGGGCCCTCTTGGGACGCCTCTTGGGCGCCTCTTGGGGCGTCTGGGAGGCCTCTTGGGACGTCTTGGGGCTGTCTTGGGCGGTCTTGGGCTCCTCTGGGACGGAAGCCGAAAAGCCGTGTATGCTAACAATATTCCCTGTTGTTCCATAGGAAATCCATGCGTTTGGCCTCTTGGTGGCCTCTTGGGACGCCTCTTGGCGGCCTCTTGAGGCTTCTTGGGGGGCTTTTGGGGCCTCCTGGGAGCATCTTGGGACGAAAGGCTAGACTTTTCGGTCCGTGGTCCCCCTCTTGGGGCCGTCTTGGGGCCCTCTTGGACCGTCTTGGGCGCCTCTTGGGCCGACTTGGGGCTCGCTTTTGCCGTTTTTGGGGTCTCTTGGGAGCCTCTTGGGCCGTCGTGGGGCGGTCTTGGCGGCCTCTTGGGCCGTCGTCAACGCAATGAAACACGATAAGCCGTATACGCTAAAACTGCACGCTTTTCTGTAAGAAATCACTGGTTCGGGCCTCTTGGGGGCCTGTTGGGGCGCCTCTTGGACGCCTCTCGGGGCGTCTCGGAAGCCTCTTGTGCCGATCTTTGGGGCCTCTTGGGCCGTCTAGGGCCCTTCTGGGACGGAAAAGGGGAGACACCAGAAAAACATGGAAAAACCCTAGGGAAAACCCGAAAACGGCCATTAGAGCCCATTCCCCCCCCCTACCCCCCTCCCCTGGAACCCCTCCCTTTAGGTCCTCGCCCACACCAGAACGTCATCACTCGTACCTCGCTCTTTCCGCTACCTGGGCCCGGCACAGAAACGGAAACAGAAAGAGCGCTGCAGCAACAGAAACCGAAATGACTCACACCACCGTTCGTACCGGGAGCCTTGGCGTTGAGAGCTGGTTACGTCACCCCGCGCTCTTGGGAGCCTTGATGTTCAGAGATTGCTGCGTTACCGCCCGTTCCTGAGCCATGACTGGGCCTTGGTGTCAGGAACGTGTTACGTCACCGCTCTCTGCTGGGAGCCTTGGTCTTATCAGCTTGTTTACGTCACCACTCGCTGTTGGGAGCCTTGGTGTGAAGAGCTTTTTGCGTTACCGATCGCTCTTTATTTGGCGTCTCTGGGCCTTCCTGGGAGTCCTATTGCGGCCCTTGTCGGGCCCTTTTGGAAGCCTGTTGGGAGCCTCTTGGGGCTTCTTGGGGGGCTCTTGGGGGCCTCCCGGGAGCGTCTTTGGGGTGAAAGGCTAGACTTTCGGGTTCGTGGTCCCCCTCTTGGGGCCGTCTTGGGGCCCTCTTGGGCCGTCTTGGGCGCCTCGTGGGCCGTCTTGGTGTGAAGAGCGTTTTGCGTTACCGATCGCTCCTGATTTGGCTTCTCTGGGCCTCCTTGGGAGTCTGATTGCGTTCGAGTCCCTTTGGGGGCTTCTTGGGGGCCTCCTGGGAGCCTGTTGGGGTTTCTGAGGGGGCTCTTGGGGCCTCCTGGGAGCTTCTTGGGGCGAGAAGCTAGACTTTTCGGTTCGTGGTCCCCCTCTTGGGGCCGTCTTGGCGCCCTCTGGGCGCCTCTTGGACCCTCTCGGGGACCTCTTGGGTCGTTTTGGGGACCTCTTGGGGGCCTCTTGGGCCGTCTTGGGGCGGTCTTCGGTGCCTCTTGGGCCGTCGTCAATGCCGTGAAAGCCGAAGAGCCGTGTATTGTAAACGTGTACCTTTTTTTCCCATGGGAAATTCATTATTTTGGCCTCCTGGTGGCCTCCTAGGACGCCTTCTCACGCCTTCTGGGGGCCTCTTGGGGCTTCTTGGGGGGCTCTTGGGGCCTCCTGAGAGCGTCTTGGGGCGAAAGGCTAGACTTTTCGGTTCGTGGTCCCCCTCTTGGGGCCGTCTTGGGGCCCTCTTGGGCCGTCTTGGGCGCCTCTTGGGCCGCCTGGGGGCCGCCCTCTTGGGCTGTTTTGGGGGCCTCTTGGGGGCCTTTTGGGCCGTCTTGAGGCGGTATTCGGGGCCTCTTGGGCCGTCGTCAATGCCATGAAAGCCAAAAACATGTTTCCTTAAGAACATCAATGACTTTGGCCCCCTTGGGGCCCTCTTGGGACGCCTGTTGGGCGCCTCTTGGGGGCCTCTTGGAAGCCTTTTGGGACGTCTTGGGGCTGTCTTGGGCGTCTTGGGCTCTTCTGGGAAAAAAGGAAAAACCAGAAAAGCATGCAAAAACCCTAGGGAAAACCCGAAAACGACCATTAACACGCATTCCCCCGCCCTCCCCCCCTTCCCTGGAACCCCTTTCTTTAAGGCATCGCCCACACCAAAACGTCATCACTCGCACCTCGCTCTTTCCGCTACCTGGCCCGCCAAAGAAACGGAAAGAGCGCTGCAGCAACAGAAACCGAAATGACTCACACCACCGTTCGTACCAGGAGCCTTGGCGTTGAGAGCTGGTTACGTCACCCCGCGCTCTTGGGAGCCTTGATGTTCAGAGATTGCTGCGTTACCGCCCGTTCCTGAGCCTTGGCTGGGCCTTGGTGTCAGGAACTTGTTACGTCACCGCTCTCTGCTGGGAGCCTTGGTCTTATCAGCTTGTTTACGTCACCACTCGCTGTTGGGAGCCTTGGTGTGAAGAGCTTTTTGCGTTACCGATCGCTCTTTATTTGGCGTCTCTGGGCCTTCCTGGGAGTCCTATTGCGGCCCTTGTCGGGCCCTTTTGGAAGCCTGTTGGGAGGGCCTCCCGGGAGCGTCTTTGGGGCGAAAAGCTAGACTTTCGGGTTCGTGGCCCCCCTCTTGTGCTACTCTTTTTTCACCGGTGAACGTTTGATGGCAGAGCCGGCCGATGCATATGCTTGGAAGGCTTGGCTTAAAGATCCTACTCCCGCAGGGAGCGCTCAGGCGGGAGAGGGCGGGGGGGTAGCTTGAGCAACATTACGGCGACAGAAGTAAAACTCTTAGCGAACCCCTGCCACGCAGAAACATGTTGCGGTGAACGTTTGATGGCAGAGCCGGCCGATGCATATGCTTGGAAGGCTTGGCTTCAAGATCCAAACTCTTTCGCAGAAAACAGAAGTTCACAGCGCAGCGGCAGGCCCCTGTGTTAAATCACTGGGGCTCGGACCCCACGAGGACAGGACCCTGGGCCGGCGGAGTGGCGTCAGACATGACCCAGAAGGAGGGCGCTGGCTAGAGAATTACGAAGCCTGGAAGGGTAGGCAGCTGCTTTGCTCGTCATTGAACTACCTTCAAGGGTAGGGTGTTTCTTGTTAAGCCTGAAACTGCAAAAACCGTGCTTCCCGCTGCAGCGGTATCTCCAGGATTCTGTCTTCAGAAGATCTAAGTCGGACACGTTCGGAAAAAAGAAGATCGGTTGCCTCACGATATCTGGTTCCGAAGGCGCACTGATGGATAGTCACCCTCTCGAGGTTCGGCACAGCGCGATTCAGCGACGGGTCAGACCACAGCCTAAAAGTCTGTGGGTTCTCGAGGGCACAAGGAATACCGTTCTTTCGGCAGGCCCGCAAAACAAGGATACAGGTATGTGGGCAAGCATTTCCAACCTTCACTTTATATGCATCGAGGGGGGACAGGTTGGGCAGGCCTCGCACGTGCAAGGCGTCGCGCACAGGGTACCTGTTGCGCGCGACTGAGAAAGTGGCGCACGGCGGTGCCATCATCACAGCGACCATCCTGCCCTCTGCAAGGTGCCTGAGAATCAAACGTACATTCACTTTGGTGGTCAGATCTTGATCCGGGGCATTCCGCAAGTCCACACTGACTACGGGGAGCCCCCAGCGAGCAGCAGCTCGGCGAAGCCCGCCGCCGCCGCCGCCGAAAAGATCGAGAACATATCTTCTCGGAGCCCTCAAGAGCGCCTGACACGCTTGGGATCGGGCCCCGCTCTGCGCCTGAGGTCATGGAGGCGTGGGCGCCACGTCCCCATCGTAGGAAGATCCCTTCGATTTTTCTCACGAGGAGCCAGACGTGGTCCTGGTCCTCGGCATCTACCTCCCGCCGCGCCTGGTTGACGCGCCCAGCCTTCTCGTACCTCCTGACACTTCGAAGAGCCTGCCACCTCCCGCGCTTCATCGCCTGCTCTTGGGTTCTGAGGTTCTCGGCGCGGTCGGCGCTGGCCCCCGTGCGACGCCCCTGATCTGGCACCACTGTCCAGTTCAGGTTGGCGGCAGCGCGCCTGAAGACGCCCACGTACTCGCGGTAGCTCCAGTCCAGGAGGCGCTCCGAGCCCTGGGGGCGCCTGGAGAACACCTGGTCGATCGCGTCCATCCAGCCGCATCTCCTTGAGTCCAAGGGGATGCTGTCGTCGCTCTCGCCGGTCTTGGACCGCAGGTTGCCCTCCTGCGGGAAGAGCAGGAGGACCTACGTGGCCACCCCGCCAGGGGCGGGTGGCAGGAACGATGCCGGCGTCAGGCCCAGTATCTCTCCGGGGCGCAGGCACCCCTCTACCATAATCAAGGTTAGTACTGCGGCCATCAGGAAACCCAGCCTCGCGATCTCCACCACAATGGACACCCGCATGCCCGCTGTCAAGGGCCCTCTCGAGCGAGATGGCGACGCTCTGCACCATCCCTTCAGCGCGCGCAGGGTGCGCGGCAGCTTGTCGTAGCCGTTCTTCCCGTAGCGAAGTGAGTGAAAGATGATGCCCGCCAGGAGCTTCTCTCCCCTCCAGCTCTTGTGACCCTGCTCGAACTCGCGGTTCATGAAGTCGGCCAGGGCGACGCCCAGGCGCGCGGGCTCATTCAGCACCGCCTCTGAGAAGGGGCCCCAGCTCAAGAAGGCGAGGACGCGCTGGCGGTGCTGGGCAGCGGCTGCCTCGGTCACGGACCGAACCTCCAGCGGTGTCAGCCGCGCGCCTAGGAGTGCCGCGCCCATCAGGGCGCTGAGGCACTGGCGCACGTGGTTCTTCCCGCGCCGCCGCAAAGCCCTCTGGCGGGCCGCTGACGCCGCCCTCTCCTCGGGGTCCGAGGAGTCGTCGCTCTCGCTGCCGTCCTCTCCCTCGATGTCCGCGGGGACGCCTCGGTCGGCCGGGCCTGGCGCCCTGGCCAACCTGCCAGGGATCTCGTCCGCCACCTGCCCCAGGAAAGCCTCCGTCGTCTGCGCTCGGGCGAAGCCCGCGCGACGCTCGGGCCAGCCCTGCTCCAGAGAACGGCTGCACAACGCCAGGCGGCTGGCCAGACCCCGCTCCAGGGTCAGGGCGCGCACGCGGGTCGCCTGGCCTCTGAGCTCGGCCGAGCCAGGGGCGCAGTCGAGCAGCGACTGCGCGCAGGGCCCAAAGGCCGACGGCGTGGGTGGACGTCCGCCCGGAGGGCGGCCGGGAGCCGACGGCAGCCGCCGGCGCTGGTCCATCCATGGCCCTCACGGCATCGGTCTGGCTGAGGCTCGGCGCGGAAACAGGGTCGGCCTGAGTAATCGATCTGGAGCCCAAATGGCTATGGAGGAGGTCCGAGGCGGGGGAGGGATCGGTCTGACTGACCTCAGGCTCGGGCTCCGCGCGTGGCAGCTCGGTGCCCAGGTGAGAAACAAGGGTCTTCTCAGCATCATACAAGGTATCGTAGATTCGGCTCCTCTCGCCCCCAGGTTTGAACTCGCTGGGGATCCATCGGAAATGTAGTCGGACATTCCGAGCGAGGGCCAAAATAAGGAGTCGCCTTTGTTGCACAAGCACCCTGTAATCCCTCGACCTCCCCCGAGCAAAACAGAGCGCGATGGCCAGGTTATCACCGAGCAAGAGGACACGACAGTTTTTCACGGCCCCAATGTGCAGGGCACGAGCTCCGGCCTTGACCACCGCCCTGGCCTCAAGGCGCCGACCGTTGTCGGCATGCAGCCAACGATCAGCGAGAATAGTGTGCCAGCGGTCGCCGGCAAGGAGGCGGCTGGGCACCTCAGCAAAATCCTCATTGTGCTCCCACCGCGCCGCCTCCAGGATCTCCCTCGCCTCTCTGTCGCGCCGCACGGGCCGGCCGTGGAAGTCGCGCTCCACGTCGCCGCTCTCAGGGCCCACCTTGAAGCCGGCGACCTCGAAGGCGTGCTCGTGGGCCCGGGCGCCGCCCAGGCGGTGGCGACTGAGCTCCGGCACGCGCCCGACCTCGGCCACGTCGCGATGCGGCCAGGGGGGCTGGGAGACGCCGAAGCCGTGGAGACTCGCGTCGCTGGCGTAGACGCAGGGCGTCCAAGGCTGGCTCCAGTCGGCCTCGACGAAGAGCATGGCCCGGAGGAAAGCGTTGAGCTCCTCCTGAGCCGAGTCCCACAGCCGCTGGAACTTCGCGTAGGACTCCCGAACGAAACGATACACCGCGTGGAAGATCGAGAGGAGCTCCCGACGCATCAGACACAGGAAAGCGACGCGTCCGAGGACGGCCTCGACCTGCCAGCCAGAGACCTTCCTCAGTCGAAGCAACGCCCGGACGCCGCGGCGCACCAGAGCGAAACGCTTGTCACTGGGCCGGGCGACTCGGGCGTCGCCGTCAAGATGCCAGCCCTGGGAGGGCCCGCTGTGGTCGAAGACCTCCATCTCGTGGAAGCGCAGCGCGTCGGCGTCGAAGTCCCTCTGGGCCCCCGCCAGAGCGCGACCTACCAGGTCGCCGTCGAAGGAGAGCACGCCAGCGTTGTCGACGGACATGCAGTGGCCGGACCCTGCCGAGGCCGAAGGCCCGCCGAGGACCAGGGAAGGCACCCGGTCCGAGAGCTCCCGGCTCTGCCGCAGCGCGGGCTGGCGACCCAGGCGCTGGGCGTTCGCGGTCTGGGCAAAGTGCAGCGACCACGAGAAATCCATCGGGGGGCTCGCGCACATGGGCCAGATCTCCTCGTCCGGCCTCACAGCCGCGCCGTCGACCTCGGAGATGCCGGCGCGCTTGGGCGCGAGGGGCGGCCGGCAGAAGTAACGCCGAATGTCGCCCGCCGCCGTCTTCACCAACCTCATCCTCTGGAAGCCGTCCGCGACGTCCCCGACGCCGAGGTGGGCCGGCAGGCCCTCCAGGAGGCCCCCGGGGTCGTCGATCTCCACCCTGGACAACCCCTCGCCGCTCAGGAGGGCGACGCCGGGAGGCTTCTGGAACAGCTGCTTGGCTCGCCGGCTGTCGACGATTAGCCTGAGCTTGTCGGCCTTCTTGGCGACGAAAAATAAACGCCCAGTACGCAGGCCGGGTCTCGAGTGAAGGTCACCATGCCGACTCTCGCTACCCTCCGCACAAGGCGGCCGTAGGTGCGAGGATCCTTCTGCAGCGCCGGGTCGGTATGACAGCCCGGCACCCCTCATACTGTTGAATTAATTCCGACTCATGCGCGGGCCGGAGCATACGCTTCTCAAAATCCTCGAGGTGCTTCCGACACCATCGGGTGCTCGCAGGACCCGACACTGCATGAAGGCGCCGGCGCATGCCCCGAGCGCCCCTTCAAGAGCCTGGCCAAGGCTCCACGTTCGCCGACGGCGCTGTCAACGTCGCACCAGCGGGGGGCCGCCTCCACGACGCGCTGCCGCACATCAGCTTGTAGGCCCAAAATCTTCTTCTCGGTGGGCGCCGACATCTGCCGCGGGGCAGGCCGATGACCCCCTCCACGCATCCAACTCAGCGCCTCGATGGCCGCGCTGATGTCTCGCAGCAGCCGCCTGCGCCTCCCGCCCGCGGCGGCCGCGGGGATGCCCACGACGCTCAGAGGAGGGATAGGCAGGAAGGCACGAGCCCTGTGTGGTTCGCGGGCGACGGTCGGGCCGTCGTCGCCCTGGGCGCCCAGCGTCACGTGGCCGGCGGCCGCGCGCCTCGCCCGCGGCCGCCTCCGCCTCTCCCTCCTCCTGCACTGCCTCCGCCGGCGTGGTCGCCCTCCGCCTGCGAGGGGGGGCCCCCCGCAAAGCGGCGGCGGCCGCGGCGTCGGCGCCCAGGGCGGCCCCCGAGTGGGGCGCGCGGGCGCGGACGCGGAGGCTCTCCAGCTCCAGCTCGCCCTTCGCCTGGCGCGCGGCGCACGTGCGCATCTCCTCGGGGGCGAGGTCCAGGGCCGAGGAGGTGGCGCTGAAGTGCTTGGCCGCGCTCCAGTTGGGATTGCCCGCGCCCTTCGCGTAGGCCTCCACGCGCTGCAGCAGCCGTCGGACGACCACCTCCAGGGCCGCGACGGCCCCCACGTTCGGCTGGTCGTAGCTGCCAGCCAGCCAGAGACACTCGATGAGGCACTCGACCTCATGCCAGGCCCGGCCCTTACGCGAGATGCCGACCTCGCGAACCCACTCGGCGAACCAGGCCTTGGGCGCCCCGCCGTGCTTGTGGAACTTCCTGCACACGGGGAGGCACACTGGGAGCCCCCTGGGCCCAGCCGTCTGGACGCTCTCCTGAGTGGCCTCCTGCAGCACCTTCCTCCACTCATTGTACCTGACCCCCGCGTCAGTCGTAGTCGATCCAGCACGTGCGGGGGTCGTCGACGTCGGCCGCCTCGGCTCGGGCCGTGGAGGGCGCCAGCGCGGGCGGCCGAGGTGGCCCGTCGTCGAGCAGCCTCTTCTCGAGCGGGTCGCCACCGCCTCGGAGCCGGGAGGCCCCCTGCAGCACCACTCCGACACGCGACCGAGCTCGACGAGCTCCACAGGGTGATGACCTCCGCTGCGATCGGTGGCGATGCCGTACTCGCCTCGCCCACACAGCCCGACACACGGTGGTTGGCCAGGTCGCAGCTCGGTGCCGAGGGCGAAAGCTCCGCCCCAGCAGGCCAAGTCGCTGCGCAGCCAGCCGTGCCCATCGGCGGCCTCTGGCAGGGGCGTGGGCGCGCCGCCGCCTGGCTCCGACGCTGGCACGAGAGCAGCCCCCGCCCCCTCGACGTCGACGACGGGGAGGGGCATGGCCTGCTTGCCTCGGAGCCGGCAGCCCGAGGCACTGAGGCGCGGCGCCTGCACCGGGGAGTAGGCTGGAAGGTCCAGCCGGCCCCCCCTCCAGTCCACCGCGTCAGGCACGCTGGGATCGGGCCCCTCACTCCCTGTCATCACGACGGCCTCGGCGCGCGCCGTCGTGACGAGCTCAGCCACCTCGTCCGGCTCCAGGGCCCGGCTGAACGCCACCACCTGAGGGACGCCCGTCGGGTAGCCCTTCCGCCCTGTGAGCAGGGCCGAGCTGCTGAAGTCGGTCTCCTGCTCCACGTAGAAGTCACCCCTAGGCGTGTAGACGTAGCTGGCCCAGTGGCCACCGTCTGAGTCTGGCGGGACGGGCCACAGGAAGAGCCTCTCGTGGGCCCAGCCGGGGTCGCTCGAGAACGTGACAAGCCCCCTCGACCCCAGCCTGGCATGGGCGACCGCCTCGAAGAGCGACCTCGGCGGCAGGCCAATCATTTGATCTGCAAGCAGGCCTCGCCCAGAGGTTGCCTCCGGCGAAGGTCGCTCGCCCTCCGTGATCAGCAGCGCCAGGCGCCCCAGGCCAGCCCAGCCTCACCGCCGCCCAGCGCCAGCAGCAGCAGCCAGCTGGGATCTCCACCGTCGAACCCGCCACGCCCTCGCCCAGGACGTGGAAGCTCTCTGGCCCGTCGTGCGGGCACTCAAGGGGCACAGACGGAGGACAGGAGGGCGGAGCGTGGACGACCGCCTTCGTCCAGGTCACGCTGGTCTCGGTCGTGCTGGTACTACTGGACGCCAGATAACCCCATCATGACCGCCCGAGCACCACCCGTCGCCAACCCAGTTGGCGGGGTGGAGCAGCACGCCAGCCGCCAGGCACAAGGCGGCGATCGCACTGCTCGTGGCGGTCCCCGCAATCATGCTAGGGTTTTTCGCTTGAGCAACATTACGGCGACAGAAGTAAAACTCTTAGTAAACCCCTGCCACGCAGAAACAGGGCCGTCCTGGGGCCCTTTTGGGCCGTCTTGGGCGCCTCTTGAGGCGCGCAAACATGGATTAGCGATCCACGGATCTGGCGCGCGGCCGCCAAATCCATTGATCGGGGGAGGTACCCTCCCAAAATGCGGCCGGTGCCACCTCGCCCGGCAGCGGAAATCCGCGATTTCCCATGGACACGGGACCCGCCGCTAATCCACGTCCCCTTGATCCATGTTTGCCATCGCCTGAGTCCAGAAGGCTGTTGAGTTAGTTTCACGCTGGCCTGTTTGCAGGGCTCGGCCTGTGCGGGTGATCGGGGTTAGTGGTTCGCCCAGCGCCATTCAAGCCTCTTCCGCCTCAAGGCGGTCGTCCAGACATTGCTTCTTCGACTGGTGCCTCCCCCTCCTCATCGTCGCTCTCTGCCGCCTCCTCCCTCCTTCCCTCCTCCCTCCCTCCCTCCCTCCCTCCCACCCTCCTCCCTCCTTCCCTCCCTCTCCCCTCCTGAAGCTCTCCAACTGAGTGGGCGCTCCAACTCAGCGGCGGGGCTTCAACAAGGACTCTCCTGCCCCGCTCTCGCGCCACTCCTCTCAGGGTCTCGCTCCCCTGGCGGCACACGACTTGCCACCCAAGATCATGGGAGCGAGCGGGAAAGCGAGAGAGGGGGTCGGAGAGATAGCCTCGGTTGCCCAGCTTCCCTCCGCCATCGCGGGCGACTGGAACATCGATGACGGGGACGTGGGGAAGCCTCGCGGCTGCCCGCTGGACCCTCGAAGGCAGACGCCTGCCCGCACAGCGGGACCTCATCGCCTCCCAGTGGCGCCGAACGGCAAGGAGACGCTGCGCCGCCAGGAGCTGCAGAAAAACGTAACAGAAACAAAATCATCAAGGGCAGCAGCGTGGAATAGGGATTCCCCGCTGCAATGTCCCGGCGGAGAACCGCGGGCCACGCGGGGGCTCGTCGTCGGGCCCTCCGGCAGTGGCTCCTCCTTCTTCTCCTTGTCGTCCACCGCCCCCAATCGACCTCCTTGAAACCCTGCGGGGGGCAGTCCCACGAGCGTGGCCGAGACGTGGCTGAGGCAATTCCACTCGCCTGAACCCCCCCGGGAGAAACGATCAGAAGGGGGGTTGCACTCGAATGCGCGACGACCTTGCGCGGTGGCTCACGCAGGCCGCTCGCGCGGCGGACGCGCGAACTTACGAGGGCGGCATGCGCGCGAGTGCCCGCGCAATCGACCCCCTTGAAACCCTGCGGGGGGCAGTCCCACGAGCGTGGCCGAGACGTGGCTGAGGCAATTCCACTCGCCTGACCCCCCAGGGAGAAACGATCAGAAGGGGGGTTGCACTCGATTGCGCGACGACCTTGCGCGGTGGATCACGCAAGCCGCTCGCGCGGCAGACCGCATTAAGGCGCCTACGCGCCACCTTCCGCGGGCAGCTTACGCACAAGTGCGCGCGCAATCGACCCCCTTGAAACCCTGCGGGTGCGCCCTCCCGCGGGCGCTTTGAAATGTGTCGCCCGGTTGCGGTTGCGGTTGCGGTTGCGCGCTCCCGCGGGCGCTTTGAAATGTGTCGCCCAGTTGCCGTTGCGGTTGCGGTTGCGCGCTCCCGCGGGCGCTTTGAAATGTGTCGCCCGGTTGCGGTTGCGGTTGCGCGCTCCCGCGGGCGCTTTGAAATGTGTCGCCCGGTTGCGGTTGCGGTTGCGAGCCCGCGGGCGCTTTGAAATGTGTCGCCCGGTTGCGGTTGCGGTTGCGGTTGCGAAATGTGTCGCCCGGTTGCGGTCGCGGAAATGTGTCGGTTGCGGTTGCCCGCGCGGGCGCTTTGAAATGTGTCGCCCGGTTGCGGTTGCGGTTGCGCGCTCCCGCGGGCGCTTTGAAATGTGTCGCCCGGTTGCGGTTGCGGTTGCGGTTGCGCGCTCCCGCGGGCGCTTTGAAATGTGTCGCCCGGTTGCGGTTGCGGTTGCGCGCTCCCGCGGGCGCTTTGAAATGTGTCGCCCGGTTGCGGTTGCGGTTGCGGTTGCGCGCTCCCGCGGGCGCTTTGAAATGTGTCGCCCGGTTGCGGTTGCGGTTGCGCGCTCCCGCGGGCGCTTTGAAATGTGTCGCCCGGTTGCGGTTGCGGTTGCGGTTGCGCGCTCCCGCGGGCGCTTTGAAATGTGTCGCCCGGTTGCGGTTGCGGTTGCCGCCGCCGGGTTGCGCTCCCGCGGGCGGTTTGAAATGTGTCTCCCGAGCTGTCCCCTGACGTTCAGTCAGTCATCAGTCCGCCGGCGGGCACGGAATTTCACCCGGCTCCGCCGGGAACGAGGGCTGCATCAGGTCGTGCATGTCCCCGTACAGGCGGATTGTGGACGAGAAATGAAAGAGCACAACATAATCTTCCTGCAGAGGGACACGCCCGACGTGAGGGGAGCACCGCGCGGGTAGCTGCGGGGCGCCTCGTCGCCCGCGTGGCTGGCGGCCTCGCCCTCCCGTTCCGCGCCGTCCCCGCTCCAAACCTGCGGGTCGCCCGCCGCGCGCTTCAGGGGGGCAGCGCGGGCGGCGCGACCCGCCGGGCTCGCCGCGTTTCCTCGGGCCCGCCTTGTCTCCCGCGGGGGGCATGCGCAAACCAGCGGGCGGAGGAAAAGGAGGAGGACGAGGGGGAGGAGGAGGAGGAGGAGGAGGAGGAGGAGGAGGAGGAGAAGGAGGAGGAAGAGGAGGAAAAGGAAGAGTATGAGTATGAGTATGAGTATGAGTATGAGTATGAGTATGAGTATGAGTATGAGTATGAGTATGAGTATGAGTATGAGTATGAGTATGAGTATGAAAATGAGTATGAGTGAGAGTATGAGTATGAGTATGAGTATGAGTATGAGTATGAGTATGAGTACGAGTACGAGTACGAGTATGGGTATGAGTATGAGTATGAGTATGAGTATGAGTATGAGTATGAGTATGAGTATGAGTATGAGTATGAGTATGAGTATGAGTATGAGTATGAGTATGAGTATGAGTACGAGTATGGGTATGAGTATGAGTATCAGTATGAGAATGGTATGAGTATGAGTATGAGTATGAGTATGAGTATGCGTATGCGTATGCGTATGCGTATGCGTATGAGTGTGAGTATGAGTAGGAGTATGAGTATGAGGAGTATGAACCAGCTGCGGCGTGCAAGTTGTGACAGATAACCGCATTAAAGAGAGGGCCCTTGCTGCCGACTATTCAGTTCGGCCTTGCTCGAGCCCTTGGGATTTAACCAGTCTCTGATGATATCAAATTACACTTTACCAGTGGGGGTGATGGGGGTGCACGTCTGGCCGAGAGACCGCAGCTGCTTGTCAGCTACCCCCCCCCCCCCGCACCTCCCACATAACCAAAGCTTCAAAACGGAAGGATAATTGAGGAAATGGGAAGAGTGTAGCCAGCCCCCCGCTACATGAATTCTAGAATCCGCCAACGGGGACCACAGGGTTACATGAACATTCACAAGCTGAGGGCACGGCGCATTCATCCATTCGGGCGCCGTGGCCACGGACGCCGACCCGAAACAACGCAAACACTTCCTTCTCGACCCATCGAGGGAATGACGAAACAAAAGCTGGGCAACAGCAGCAGCAGGGGGAGGAGGAGGAGGGGGAGGAGCCTCAGGAACCCCTCTCTCTCAGCTCCCGCCTCATCGCAGCGTTCTGCTCGGCCTCGGCGCCGAGGCGGTCCATCGTGGCTCGCAGTAGGCGCAGGCGCACCCTGCGCGCACGAACCTCACGTCGCTGCACTCGGTGTCGCTCGCTCTGTGGGAGACGACATTGCAGCGCAGCATGGTCGGCCAACTCGTCGGCCACTGTGTTGGCGAGGACTAAACTCCTGACTGCACTTCCCTCCACGATGTCATGCTGGTCTTGATGACTGTGCGTGAACAATATCGAAATGTCCGCACGGTCACGAGCGCGGAGCAGATCCGCCAAAGCAACCAACAAATCTCCATCATCACCACGAGGTCGCTCATACGCTCTCTCGTACCATGACTGGACCAGTGGCTCGTAGTCCGTGACGCCCGCCATAGTGCCCCTCAAAACCCACACAGCTAGCACGAACGCGCGGATCCCGCCGCGGGCCACAGCCTGACGTGGGCCAACCAGAAGCCCATAAGCCGATGAGTCCACAAGCACTCTAGGCTCCAAGCTATCGAACTTCGCAATCGCAATACCTACCCTGCGGAACTTGGGAATACTTGAGTCTGGCCCTCCAAGCGCATCACCTGTAATGGGAATGGGATGGCCTGGAGTGCCACACCCCGTGCATCCTTCCGTCAACTCATTGATGCCAGAAGTGCCCCACCTCCCACAATCAACTGGAGGGGGAACCGCAGTCCATGGCTCAGGCAAATGCCACGCAACCAAAAAGCTTCACCAAACACTCACCTGTGCTATGGCCTCTGAGATCATATCATCGCTGTCGTCGCACGCCTTCGAGCCGTGGTTGGCGTCGCACTTCCAGTATCTGTGCATGAGATCCTGAGGGCCCTGGTGGCACCAATCGCAATCACTGCCTCCTGCAAAACTCCTGGTCAAGTCCACTTTGCGCGTCTTGGGCCTGCGCCCCGCCGACGCCACCATGACCATGACCTCGGCAAGCCTTCTGCCGTGATCTATCTGGCCAAGGTGCTGGGCCAGTCTGCGATGCGAGTCACGATCTACGCCTGCCTCGAGTCCAGTACCACAGAAGTGTTCACATGCCTGCTGCCAGACCTTGAGGAAAGCTGATCTCTGCGCATCACGAACAATGCCTTGGCGTGAATCTCGAATTATGCATCCAGTGAACATATCATCGGGAAGCAACCACACCTCATAACTATCAGGGACCGTTGGATACGTCCAAGATGTAGCTGATGCAGGTGCCCACCCTAGCCTCAAGAGTGTCAGGATAGTTGCCGAGATTGAACCGCGAACATTTCTGGCCTGGCCGGCTGGAGGCAAACCTGTGAGCTTGGTGACGCTCTTCGGCCACACACGATGCACGGCAGGTCGAATATGTGGGCGGGCCTGCCGCACCTGCAGCCACATGTCGATGCACTTGGTGGGGGGGGGGATGGCTGGGTCTGCCCCGTGAGCCCTGAAGCGCAGGACTGTTGACAAGCACCTGCCTCGACTAGAAGACGAACATGCCTGTCCGAGTCTTCGCCGTGCTGCCGCGAGCTGATGCCCGAAAACTCCGTGAATTTGGAAACCGTACAACCCTGCTGGGATGCCACCCTGGCGCTGCAGCTTGGCCATCACGGTGCGCTGCCGGGGCGCCCTGGTGCAGCGTCGGATCTTCTTGCTCATGGCGAGGTGCTTGGCCTCGCGCTTCGCGCGCGTCGCTCGAGCGTGGCGCCCGCAGCCGAAGTCCACCTCTAAGTGGGCAGCTTGGCGGACGGGCTGTATGCCGTAGCCGGCGAGCCGCGCTGCCTTGGCAACGGCCACCGCATCCTGGTAGGTGGTGCACAGCACGACCGGCTTGGCTGCCACGCGCAGTCGACGCTCGCCCAGATCCCGACAGGTGCCCAGCAAACATTGTGTAATCATCTGTCTCACTGCGCGCCTCGACCCCTTGGCCACCTGAGATAGATCCTCTATCCACAACCGATGGCCCATGCGTGCGTTGGCCGTCGCCACCGTCTTCATGACGTAATGCGTAAGGATCTTAGCGAATCTGGTGCCTGAACGGAGGCCCTGCATCACGCTCTGACTCGGGTCGAACGCCTCGCTCGCGGCACCCAACTGCTTCACCGTTCTTGGTGATATACACCGCAACAGCTCCAGACAAAGAGTGACTGGTGGACACTGCAATCTCAGCGCCGCGGCCACGAACGGGGCCCGAGGCATTGAGTCGTAAAATGCTTCAATGTCAACCATACCGTGCCCGCATTGCATACCAAGGTGGTGTGCAACCTCGTCTATGGATCTCAAAAAAAGCCTCTTGGAAGCAAGAATTGCCTTGGCTGGCAGCGTCCCAGTGTTGAGCTCTGGCTCGGGGCCAATCTTGAACCTCGCACTCTCTAATCTTGGACCATAACCTTCCAAGCATTGACACTAAACCAATTCCACGATCAGCACCTGCCTTCTTTGGTAATACCTTCGCAACAATCAAGGATATCTGGATTGGCCAGACCAAAGGCGCTTCAACAGCTGCAAAGATTAAAACCAGTTCAACCAGTCCTGCCCTGGGAATTCTCGGACAGTCAACAGGGGGCAGACGGTCAATGTCAAGCCCAGCCTTGGGTCTCATCTGCGCCGCCGCCTGAAGCACCTCGCCCATGGCAATCGGAGGGAGTGGCTCGTCGGCCGCAGCAGCCCGCACATGCCTAAGCAGCTCCTTGATCGTTGACAGGTCTGGCGGTACTGAAGCCCATACCTTTCTTTTTTATATAAAAAAGAAACCAAAAAAACATAATATATATATATATTAAAAAACAAAAAAAAAAACTCCCCTTAACGGCCATGATATCTCTAGGATGAAATGCTGTTGCTTCGCCTGCCACGATCTCCGGCGCTGGGGGCGGAGTAGGCATCAAGGCCTTGTGGAGAACCGCCGCAGCCTCGGTCTCAGCAGCCCAACTGCGGACATCCCGCAACGACGAAAACGCGGCCTGCTGCTGCGCCCTCTTGGCGATACGCTCGGCGCTCCCTTCATAGGACTGCAACGAGAAAAGATCCTGTCGACCTTGCCCGTTGAGAAGATTCAGCCAGACGTTCCAACGTGGGCCCCGCCCCGCTCGAAGAGGAAGGCGCGCGCCTTCAGGTCGGTCCCCGCGCGGTTTGTCGCAGGCTTCTCGATGCTTCTGGACCTGGCGCTCACCGCTAGCTCGTGCCATGCGCCTGGTCAGGCCCGTTATAACTGCGCGAGCTCTTGCCCACCGCTGGGCCTTGAGGTCGCGAAAATGTAGTCGGCGACGGCGCGCCGCATCATGTAGAGGTTTGACCGCAAGACGCGGTCCGCAGATCCGACTGACTCCCGACATCGCCACTCCATGGCGCCCGGTAACAGCGGCCTCGAGCGCCTGGACCCATGCGGAATACATTCCCGATGCAGTCGAAGCGCGGGCTACATTGAGCGAGTAGGCTACGGGGGCGAGCATGGAGGGGATGCCTGATCTATGCGCTGCCCCCCCGGGGCGAAACCGGCCTCGCGCCGACGCTCACTCCGCGGGCCCCCTGGGATCTTAAAGGATGCTTCGGGCGCGGCCCCCCCAAGGCCAGAAGATTTACAGAGTCACCACCTTGCTGCCGGCTATCCTCTGCTTCGGGGGGGCCGGCTCGAATTAGGGGAGGGGGCTGACAAGCGCGCTGTTCAAATTGCAAGGGGTGGGGGGGCCCGGGCATCAGCACCGCCGTTAGCACCCCGACTGTCGTCAAGCTCAAGCCGCCCGAAAGAAGACGGAGAAGGAGGGGGGTCAGTTTTCCCGCGGCTGGGATCGGCCACAAAATTTTACTGGTCGGCCCACGGATCAGGCTCGCCTGGCCAGTCGTCGAGCTCAGGGTCCTCCATGGGGCCCTCCACGGGAACAAAACTGGGGGGCGGGTTACTGGTGGGCCCCCACCCTCAATGCAAGACGATTTTGACTGAAAACAGCACCAAAACATTTCGAAACCTAGTCGCTCTAGCATCTGCGGCTGAGCGCGGCAATCTCCTGACGGGCTTGGGCAATGCTGCTCTTAGACCCTTTGGTGGGCATCTGCCGCGGCCTCGGGAGCCGAGGGGGCCTAGGGGGGCCTCGAGCGCGCGAGTGATGAGCTGGGGCCCAGAAGTCCGAAGATCAACCTTGAGTCCCACATGTGGCTTCCATGGGGCGTCTCGCACAATGGACACATTGCGAACAAAAGAGACGGCCGTGGGCGAACACACCAAATAATCAATCAAGGTATATTCTCCTTCTTTGGGGGCGCATGCGCCTGCTCCGCCGCCGCGCGAACGATGCCTCCGAGCTGTTGCCCGAACTGCGATGCAGACAGGGTGGTGGACGTCATGTTGAATTCGCCGATGAGGATCCACGGGGGACGAATGGCTGCCAAGAGGCCGCCTATCTTCTGGGAGCGCCTGCAGTTGGCACCTCGCATCCCCAGCGGCGGTAGGCCGTGCACTGTGACGATGACGACCGAGTACCCAGTCATGTGCTCCACCGTCGCCACGAAGCCGCCCAAGGAGGTCTGGTCTGGCTCCGACAAGTACTGGCTGGCGACGGTGGTCTCGTATAGACGGTGCGCTTGGAGGCGGAACTGATTCATGGAGAGCTCCCCGCCCTCGTTCGAACGGACCTCGCCTTCCTCTGTAGTCGCGCGCCCTGCTCTCCATGCTGGATTGTGAACCAATTCGTAGCCGAGCAGCCCTCGCCGACTTATCGCATTGGCGAAGCTCCAGTTCATCATGAACGCGCGTCTCCACTAAGCTCCAAAATGGATCGCATTTCGAATTCTTCTGCACAAGCTTCCACACCTCATCCGTGAGCGCCGCGACGCTGGCGTAGAACAGGGACGTCACGTCAGCCCCCTCCTCCTGCTCAGGAAGCTGTCCCCGTTCTGGAGGTGGGGGCTGGGCCGACCGTCACTGCGCCGCGGCCGCGGCCGCTGCGTCTCCTTTGCCCTTCGCCTTCGCCTTGGCCGCCAATGCCGCAAACTTGGCGCCCGACAAGCGCGACGCCTCCTCCTGCAGCGCACGCTCCTTTTCTACGTCCTGCTCGACGGTGGTCTTGGCCATCGGTGTCTCGGTGTGCTTCGAGTCCTCCGTGAGGCGTCGGTGTCCTCGACCTGGTCGAAGAAGGCCTGGTCCCACTGCAGCGTGAACAACTTCGGCGTCTCCGTGTCGTCGTCGCCCTTCACGCCCTGGGGCTTGTCCAATCCCTCGGCCTTCGTGAGGGCGGTGGCGGCTGCTTTCTTGGCCTGATCAGCCTCCGCGAGCTTCCTGGCCAGATTCTTCTTTGAGCTCCGCTGCAGCCAGATTCGAGCGAAGCCTGATGACTGATTGAACTGCTTGATCGTGCATGTGTTCGGCGTTCCTGAAGATACCGTCGGCGCGCTTGAGGGCCTCAACCGGCGTGACATTCACCGAGTGCGCCTCCGGAGGCCTCCGCCTTGGCCCCCAAGCGCGAGATCTGTGATGTCAGCGCCGCCTGGAGCGAGCTGTCCTCCGTGGCCTCCAGCGCCGCCAGCAGAAGGTCTGTGATGTCGTCGCTCTTGCCACGTACTTTGCCCTTCTTGCGGCCCCCTGGTGATGCACCCCGCGTGCGGCCAGGGCTGTGGTGCTTCGGCTCGTCGCGTGCTCGTGGAAGTCGGAGACGTCGCCCTCACCCTTTGCGAAGCTCACCCGTGGCTTGGTCTGGGGCCTGAACAACTTGAGCTCCGTCTGGCAGCGCGCGAACTCGCACCTGCGGCACGATGCGCAACGAGTCCACAACTCCTTGGGATTGGGAGCCATGGCGGGAAATCCGGGAACGCTGGAACCTCTGCCTTGGTCGGTGGCCTGGGGGCCTGGCGAGCCCCAGACTCAAGTCCCTCAAGCACTGCGGGGAAGTGCAGAGGATTGGGCGCCTAGTCACCTGGCGGGGAGCCCAAATTTCTTGAGGGAGGAGGAGGAAGAGGAGGAGGAGGAGGAGGAGAAGGGGGATGAGGGGTAGGAGGATGAGGAGGAGGAGGAGGAGGAGGAGGAGGAGGAGGAGGATTTGTTGAACGTCGACGCTTCTGGCAAGCCGTACACTCTGGGGGGACCTCGCCTCCCCCCAGAGGGGAGGAGGACGAGGGGGATCACGAACCAAACTGCCAGGTTTGCTTGGGTTGCACCCCCAACCCCCAGCCTGTTAGTAGGAGCTGCTAGCAGCCCCAACAAGGACGAATTGGCTGCCCGGGTTAGGAAAGCACGTGGGGAGGGCTGCCAACGCATGCCAACGCATGCCAAGGCAGACCAACGCATGCCAATACATGCCCATGCATGACAACGCCTGCCATAGCACGCTAACGCATGCCAACGCATGCAAGTGCATGCCAACGCACGCCAACACATGCCAACGAATGCCAGCGCATGCCAATGCATGCCAATGCATGTCATAGCACGCCAATGCATACCATACCAACGCATGCCATTGCATGCCAATGCATGCCAATGCATGCCAACGCAGGCCAATGCATTCCAATGCATGCCAATGCATGCCAACGCACGCCAACACATGCCAACGAATGCCAGCGCATGCCAAGGCATACCAATACATGTCAATACATGCCAATGCATGACAACGCCTGCCTTAGCACGCCAACGCATGCCAATGCATGGCAGTGCATGCCAATGCATGCCAACGCATGCCAATGCATGCCAACGCATGCCAATGCAGGAGGAGGAGGAGGAGGAGGAGGAGGAGGAGGAGGAGGAGGAGGAGGGGGATGAGGAGGAAGAGGGGGAGGAGGAGGAGGAGGAGGAGGAGGAGGAGGAGGAGGAGGAGGAGGAGGAGGAGGAGGAGGAGGAAAGGCCGCCCTCGGATGGTGCTCACCCTCCCGGCCGAGGCCGGGTCGACGCCGCCCCAGGGCCCAAAACGGTCCTGGCCAGGCGCGGTGGCGGCGCGGTGGCTGCCTTCTGCGCGTCTCCCACCATGTGAGCAGAACAGGCTCCGTAGCAACGATCGCCCCATCTGCCAGTGCCAAAGCTCCGTCATACGACTGGGGGAGGAGGAGGCTGTCCTGCCGCAGGGCCGTCGTCGCCTTTTTCCATACCAGGTGAGAAGACCGAAGATTGGGAACGGCGGACAGACCCGAAGGCGGCGCAGCCAGAGGGCATAGGCAAACGACGGATCGTGGGAGGGGACGGGGGAGGGGAGGGGACGCAAACAAAACGGTTGCTCACAGAACGGAAAGGGGACGCATGCGGGGCAAATATAAACCGCAAGACTACCCCAAACCGTCGGAGCAACAGAACCCCCCGCCCCTCGGGATCCCATCGGCGACTACACTGCCCTACCCATCGTGGGACCCGAGCCCGATGGCGAGGATGTCCCGAGCGAAGGAGGCCCCGCCGGTGAGCGCAACGAACACCCAGCCAGCACCGACAAGCCCCAAACGTTCGATGTGTCAGACGCCAGGCTGAAGCTCCGCTGCCCATCTGAAACAGCCAATCCTCAATGCTGCCACGATCCTCCCGATTCGTACGCGTGCTATTTGGGCGAGGGGTTACTAGGTCGTTTTTAATTATTGGTTAGATTCCCTGGTGGTGTTGGTTTCGCTCTTCTTTTTTCCGAGAAGGAAGGGGAGCGAAGGGACAAGCAGGAGGACGAGCAGAGGGGAGGGAAAAAGGCTGACACGAAGATGCACGGACATCGCATACAGAACCGTGCATTGCGCGACGGACAACATTATACGGGCGAAAGACATCATACGGGCGAACGACCCGACCGTAGGCAGCCTCGAGTGTCGCGGGGCAGGTGGAAAGGAAGAAGGGGCCAGGAGAAGAACTACGGCGTCGAGGTGGAGAAAAGCCGCTGGGACCCCCGGGGGAACGCACGCTTTGGCGCGAGCCCCGCGCGCCGCAACGTCGTGCCCTCTTCCCTCCCGGCTCCTTCTCGCTGCTCTCCTTGCTTCCAGTGGTGCGGCGCTGCGCCCCCGCCCGCCTGGCCCGCGGTGGCCCGAGCCCGTGTTTGGCAGCCACTTCCTCCCTCGTATTCCTCACCTCTTTGTCCTTGCGTTGAGTCGGGCGTGTCCCTCTACAGGAGGAGCATTCAAACATACTAGAAAAATAGTGTAGGGACAATGTTCATACTATTTTCGAGCATTTGTTTGAGGTGTTTTTTTGTGTGTGGCTATCGTCAATGTTTCGTCGAACATCAGCCTGTAGGGGGACATGCCCGACCTAATCCTTGCGCCCCGGTGACCGCGGCTCTGGGCACCGCGCGTTGCGGAGTTCCCGCGACGCACACCACTCGCCCCCGAAAGGGGTCCCGCGACGCGCGACGGTCGCCCCGAGGGAGTCCCAGCGACGCGCGCGGGCTGTCCGCGACAGGAAAAAGAAAAAAAACGGGTGACCGAAAGTGACAACGGGCAAGGCGCTGGGCAGAGCGCGCGGGCTTTGGGCAGCTCCTGGAGGCAGAACGGTGTGCCTCGGTGGAGCTCTCTATGGGGCCACGAAACGTGTGATGGACGTGCCGACATGGGCATGCGATGGGCGGGGGGCCGCATGCGAACTTTGCCACTGCGGCCTCCAGTGGAGCTCCATTGGGGCCACCAAACGAATGAGCGGTGTCCCGACATGGACATGCGGTGGGCGGGGGGCCGCATGCGAGCTTTGCCGTTGGGGCCTTCAAAAGAGCCCCCTATGGGCAACGAAATGTGTGCGGGGCGTGCCGTCATGGTTGACTGATGTGGAGAGCAGAAGGAAGGAGAGGAGGGGGAGGGCGAGGAGAAAGAGGGAGTGAGACGCGGGGCGCTGCCTCTTCTAAACGAGGACCCAACATCACATAATGGTTGGGAATAAAATGCACCAGGACGCGAGGTGTGGACGTCCATCGTGGTTCGATCGACCACTGATATCTGCCGCTGTGCCGCTGGGTGCGGAGAGGGCGTCTCATCAAGACACTTGCAGAATCCCTTGAGCTTCAGTCTCTTTCCTGAGGAGTCTTTGAAGGCCCAGAGCCAAATTCTCAAATCTGCCAGGCCTTCTCCGCGTGCCCCCTGGGGCTCCCGGCATCTTCTCGCATGATTGCTTCGGGTCCCAGAGTGCCTCAGGACGGGCCAGGAGGGCAACACGAGGCCGCCAAGACGGTCCAAAGAGGGCCCCGAGACGCCGAAAGCGCCCAAGATGGCCCCCAGATGGCCCAAAGAGGCCTCCGACAAGCCCCAATAGAGCCACAAGAGCCTTCGCAAGGGGGTCCGAGAGGGCAAAACCAGACAGGTTCCAAAGGGAGTTTGAAAGGTTTTGGGGCCCTCCACTTTTCGAGCTCCCGACGCTCCAAGGCAGCCCAAGAGGCCCACATGAAATCCCCAAGACGGCCCAAGAGGCCCCCACGAGGGCCCACACACAACTCAAGAGGGCTCCAAGACTGCCCCAGAGGCGCCCAAGACGGCCCACGAGGGCCCAAAGACAGCCCCAAGAAGGGCCCAAGAAGCGGAGCACGAACCGAAAATCCGCGTCTTCCGACCCAAGAGGCCCTCAGGAGGCCCCAAGACACCCCCAAGAGTCCCAAGAGGTCCCGAACACGCCCCAAGAGGCCACGACGGCCCCCAAAGGCCTGCCCTAAGAGGCCCCTGGGAGGCTTCCCGCGACATCCCAACGAGCATCCTGGAGGCCTCTGACCCACAACACAGGCAAGGTGGCGGGATGGGCCGAGGGCCATTGGATACCAAAGCCTCACACCGCGGCATCGTGAAGTAAATGTCCGTCACCGTGCCCTTGAGGCACGCGCTGCAGTGCCCTCGGGTCCCTTGCTGGATCCCCACGGAGCCCCGGTCCCCGGTCCCGAAGCATCCGAAGGGGGCCCGAGACCCCGGATTCACAAGTCTGCCGGGGCGCGCCGCGTGGCCCCTTGGGCTCCCGACGTCTGACCCGCATGACCGTCTCGGGCCGACAGGGGCCCCGAGACGGGCCACGAGGGCCCCGAGACGGGCCCGCAGAGCCCCCGAGGCAGGTCAAGAGGGCCCCGAATCGCAATACTACTCCAGGACGTCCAAGATGGCCCCAAGACCCGAGATACGCCCCAGATGCCCGAAGAGGTCCCCAGGAGGCCTCCCTAGAGGACCCCACGAAGCAAAAAACATGGATGTCCCAAAAGGTGCTTGAAGGATTTGGGCGTTCTCGCTTTTCGGTTTCCCGACGCTCCACGCTCCAGGACGGCCCAAGAAGCCGCCAAGACTGCCCCAAGACAGCCCAGGAGGTTCCAAAGAGGGCCCTTAAGAGGCCCCGAGAAGGCCTCCCAAGCTGCCCAAGCGGCGCCCAAGACGGCCCAAGAGGCCCCCACGGCGGCTCCAAGAGGGGGCCCCGACTGATCAAGGGAGCGAGAGAGAGGGACAGCTCAGCCCGAAACCTAACCTCACTCGTATGAGTGGTATTGTCTTACCTCGGTGCCGACCATACACGTCGGTCGGAAGAAGTGTGTAAAAACACGGAGTAGGAAGGCGGATTAAGTTGATTGGGTCCAGGCCCCCCCAGGGAATAACAACACACAGCAAAAGCGTGCCGATCCTTGAAGTAGGAAGGCGCTTGAAGTAGATTGGGATCTGGGAATCCAAAAATACCTACTTCCAACGACCGGCGTGTACAGATTCCCATACTTTCCAAGGCCAATCCGCAAGAGGTGTCACTGCCTTGGGCCCGCCAGCCTGGGGGATCCGCCTCCGTGCCGCTGAGCACGGAGTGGGCGTGGCCCCAGGTCCTTTGCCCAATCCCCTGAGCCTTCAGTCCTTAGTCCTGGGGAGTGTTTTAGAGGAAAAGGAACTATGCACATACACCGATTCTGGCAAGGCCCATCCTGAGCCCAGGATCGGTGCATACGCCCTCCTACCTTGGCCAAGAAGGCATATGCACCGATCCTGGGTCAAGGATGGGCCTTGCCAGGATCGGTGCATGTGCATAGGTCTCTTCGCCCGATGTTTCAGGGGTTCGGACCCCAATTTCCGAGTACGTGCCCCCTGGGCGTTGGGAAGTGGTGGCGCGTGACTTTCCCTTGGCCAGAATGCCCAAAGACGAGCCAAGAGGGCCCCCAAGCGGCCTCCAACACGGCCCAAGAGGGCCCCGAGACGCCGAGAGATCGCCCCAAGACGCTCAAGATGGCCCCCAGATGGCCCAAGAGGCCTCCCAGACGCCCCAAGAGGCCTCCAAGAGGCCTCCCAAGAGGGCCCCAAGAAACCACAATCATCATTTGATCTTAGGCTGTTTCACGGTTTTGGGCTTTCTCGTTGTTTCGGCTTCCCGACGCTCCAAGACGGTCCTAGAGGCCCCCAAGACCGCTCCGAGACGGCCCAAGAGGCCTCTTAAACGGCCCAAGAGGCGCCCCAAGACGGCCCAAGAGGCGCCCAAAGTGACCAGCCCCGAAGGGGCCCAAGCGTAGGAACACGAACTGAAAATCCGAGCCTTCCGCCCTAGAGGCGCCCAGGAGGCCCCCAAAGGCGCCCAGGAGGCCCACCAAGAGGCCCCCAAGAGGCCCCGAAAGGCCTCCAAGAGGCCCCAAAGAGTCGCCAGATAGACCCCCAAGAGGCCTCCAAATTGTCTCCAAGAGGCCCCCGAGAGGCCTCCCACGAGATCCAAACGATCCAATAGGCTTCATACCCAACACTTAGGCACGGTGGCGGGATGGGCCGAAGGCCATCAGAAGAAATGTGATACAAACTGTGATAACAAACAATTGTTTGGTTATCACACCTGTTTTTGTTATCGCGCATGTTTTTGTTACGATTGCTTTTGTTGTATCACGCTTGAGGCTGAATGGAGGGAGAAGGCGACATCGCGGCGGCACGCTATTTTACCTCAGGAGGCTGACGCTTGGGCGGCCCCAGACTGGGAGGACAGCAGCTGACGGACTCCTATGCACTCTCCTTTCCCCTGCTCTTCCTCCTCCTCCTCATCCTCCTCATCCTCCTCCTCCTCCTCCTCCCCCTCCTTCTGCTGGAAGTCGGCGGCGAGCGAGGGGCGGGAAGTGAGAAGGAGAAGGCCGTCTCAGAAGGCGGCGGGACTTCTCAGATGCCCTCGCGCCTTCTGAGAAGGTTTCTGTCTCTTCGTGGACGGCTGAGGAAACTTCTCAGAAGGCCGGGGGACTTCCGAGCCTTCTGAGAAGGCCTTCGCCTTCTCACTACCCCTCCTTGCTCGCCGCAGAGGAAGGGCGGAGGATTGGCACGAGTACGGTCGTGACCCATTGCAGAAGGTGCTTGAAATAGATCAGGATCCAGGGAGCCAGGACGAGGATAACATCGGGTAAGGATAAAACCGAATATGTGATATCTCGCGGCTCTAGAGCATGTCGCAGGCGCCGCGGCCTTCTCGGAGCGCTCAGGAACGCTCTGAGAGCGTTCCAGAACGCTTAAGAGCGCATATACTCTCGTCCTAGCCCCGGCCGAGCATCTAAAAATATGTTTACTTTCACCGACAGCTGGGTATGTACAGTGGTGGCCCGACCACAAGAAACCTTCCACAAGAAACCCGACCCTGAGACCCCAGGACGTCCATGGATTTTTGAAGCAGGAGCGTCGAGCTTTCCATCGCAAAACCCTCAAAACCCTCGAAACCCAGAGCAACCTTGAGGCGAGCAGGCTGTTTCTTGGCATGGGTCTCCACTGTATGCATGTCCGCCTGCCGACGCGCCCCCCGTCCAGGCCGCTCCTGCTGCAGCATGCCGGCCTTCGTGGCCAAGCGACCTCCGCCGCAGGCTGGCAAGCCAGGCGGACGAGCAGGCGAGAGACCGGCGAAGGGGCAGGAGAAGGACGAGGAGCAGGAAGAGCGAACGTCCAGTCCACGACGGCAGCGGAGTGCGGGCTGCACAAACGCCATACTGATGTCACTCCACAGGCACACAACTGCCCAACATCGCCTGCTCACCCTTCCGCCTCCTCCTCCTCCTCCTCCACCTCCTCCTCCTCCTGCTGTTCCTGCTCCTCCTCCTCCTCCTCCTCCTCCTCCTCCTCCTCCTCCTCCTCCTTGTGCGCCCTGGGCCATCTTGGCTTCGCCATGCCCTGGCCATGTTTATTTTCCAGCCGCCGTTGGGGCCTTGGAGCCCGCGGCAAGCCGCTTCGGCCGAATAGTCCCAGATCGTCCACCGCCCCCCCGTCCCCCCCTCCCCCTCCCCCTTTCTCATCCCGCTACCTCCCCTCTCCTTCTCATCATCATCATCATCATCATCATCATCATCATCAGCATCATCATCATTATCATCATCATTATCATCATCATCAACATCATCATCGTCACCATCATCATCATCAGCATCATCATCATCACCACCACCACCAGCATCATCATCATCATCATCATCATCATCATCATCATCATCATCATCATCATCATCATCATCTTCACCATCACAACCATCACCTAAAATTTCTAGCACCATCATCGTCACCACCATCACTGAACTGTCACCACCACCATCACCATCACCATCATCATAATCATCAGATCATCATAATCATCATCACCATCACCATCATCACCATCACCATGATCATCATCATCATCATCATCATCATCCTCGTCTGCATCACTATCACCATCATCATCATAATCATCATCATAGCCATCATCATCATCACAATCACCATCACCATTATCACCAACATCATGATCATCACCATCACCAATCATCATGATCATTACCATCACCATCGCCATCATCATCAACATCAACATACACAGCATCAGCATCATCATTACCATCATCATCACCACCAGCAACATCAACACCATCACCATCATCACCATCACCACCACCATTCTCATCACCATCACGATCACCATCACTATCACCATCACTATCACCATCATCACCCCCATCATCATCATCACCACCGTCATCATCACCATCACCATCACCGTCATCATCACCGTCACCATCACACTCACCATCACCATCACAACCATCACCATCACCGGCACCATCACCATCACAATCACCATCACCATCACCATCATCCTCATCCTCATCCTCATCCTCATCATCATTATCATCGTCCTCATCATCATCACCATCATCATCACCACCACCATCATCATCATCATCACCACCACCAACATCACCACCACCACCAACCACCACCACCAACCATCACCACCACCATCACCACCACCACCACCAACCACCACCACCAACCACCACCACCAACCACCACCACCAACCACCACCACCAACCACCACCACCTTCCCCACCCCCACCCCCACCCCGACCACCACCACCAACACCACCACCACCATCATCATGTTCACCACCAGCATCATCACCAGCATTATTATCATCATCATGAGCATGATCACCATCACCATCAACATCACCATCACCATCAGCATCATCAGCATCAGCATCAGCATCAGCATCATCATCAGCAGCATCAGCATCAGCATCAGCATCATCGTCAGCAGCAGCAGCAGCAACATCATCATCAGCAGCAACATCATTAGCAGAAACATCATCACTAATCCGCCGACCCCTTGGGGTCAGGGCGTGTGAGATGCTTCCCCCTCCCCAAACCCCTCCCCTGAGAGCCCGGTCCGGCCGGTTTGGAGGGGGGGGGATGGGAGGGGTAGGCAAACGTGCCGGCCGCACCCTTGGAGCCTCAGGGGGCCCCAAAACGGGCCAAGAGGGCCCAAAAGGCCACCCGGACGGTCCAAGATGGCTACGAGTCGCCGAAAGATCTCTCCAAGACGCCCAAGATTGCCTCCAGACGGGCCCCAAGACGCTCCAAGAGGCGTCCCAAGAGGCCCTCCAGAAGCAAAAATCGCCCCATTCCCTGGGGAAACGAATATTTTTAGCACATTCGCCTCATAGGCTTTCACGAGGCCGACAACGGCCCAAGAAGCCTTCAAGATCGACCCAAGATAGGGCCCCCAAGAGGGCTCCAAGACGGCCCAAGAAGGCCAAAAACGGCCCCAGAAGCCTCCAAAACGGCCCAGGAGGGCCCCAGGACGGCCCCAAGAGGAGGTCCAGAGAGGGAACCCGAATGGACATTTCGAGCACTCGGCCCCGAAAAACTTGAGGAGGCGCCAAGAGGCCCCCAAGAGGCTCCCACGAGGCCCCCGAGAGGCCCAAAAGAGGAGGCCTCAACACGGCTCGCACGAAGCCTAAGAGCAGAGCCGCGATCCGCCCCCCCCCCCCCGACGAGATCCCAAGAAACTGAGACCCCAAGATTCCCAGCAAATCGCGGGCGTTCCGAAAACTCCGTTTTTCACTCTTACTGCCGCCCCAAGGGGTCGGCGGTGCGGCGTCAGCCAATGAATAGTAATCATCGTCAGCAATGTCATCATGATAATCATCATCACCATCACCAATCATCGTCGTCAACAACAACATTATCATCAGCATCATCATCATCATCGTCATCGTCATCGTCATCGCAATCATCATCATCATCATCATCATCATCAGCATCATCATCATCATCATCATCATCATACCATCATCATGATCATCAACATCATCACTATCATCATCATCATCACCATCATCATCATCAACAACATCAGAATCATCACCATAAGCATCAGCATCATCACCACCACCACCATTATCATCATCATCGTCATCGCATCCTCATCCTCATCCTCACCCTCATCCTCATCATCACCAATCGTCATCATCATCATCGTCATCGTCATCATCATCATCATCCTCGTCTGCATCATCATTATCATCAACAGCATCATCCTCATCATCACCGTTACCATCACCATCACCATGACCCATCACCGTCAGCATCATTATCACCATCATCATCCCCGTCGTCGTCATCATTTTCATCACAACCATTACATCGTTATCAGAGTAATTGGCAGCATCATCTTCATCATCCTCATCACCATCACCATCAACATCAACATCAACATCATCATCATCATCCTCATCCTCAGCCTTATCATCAACCTCATCATCATCTTAATCAATATCATCATAATTACTATCGGCTGGAAATTCTTGGCGGCGCTGTCTTGGGCCCGCGAGGGCCCTCAGGCGCCTCCGTGAGCCCTAGGGCGGGCCCGGATCCCTTCTTCAGTCGTGCATCAATTGAAGACGAGCACGGTAGGCGAGACCCGATCCCGACCCCTGCAAGCTTGAATCGTAATAATTATCCTTATCGCCGTCCTCATCATGCGCATCATCATCGGCATCAGTATCACCATCACCATCACCATCACCAATCATCGTCATGATCAGCATCACACATCATCAGAATCGTCGCCGAAATCATCAGCATCATCATCCTCGTCATCATTAGCACCATCATCATCACGATCATAATGATCAACATCACCATTATCAGCATCATCATCATCATAATCATCATCATCATCATCATAATCTCGATCAGAATCATCATCATCATCATCATCATCATCATCACTACCATCAGCATCATCATCAGCATCATCAGCATCACCACCATCATGTTCATCTTCATTACCATCATCATACATCAGAAATACCATCATCACAATCGCCATCACCAGCATGATCAAGGGTATCATCATCATCCCCCCACCCTCATCCGTATCATCCTCAACATCATCGTCATCGTCGTCATCGTCATCGTCATCGTCGTCATCTGTATCATCGTCAACAGCGTCATAACGATTCACATCACCATCATCACCATCCCAGACACCACAACCGTCGTTATACTCGCCATCATCATCAGCAGCAGCAGAAACAGCAGGAGCGGCATGAAGAATGGAAGTCGCATCTCCGCTTGGAAGATGTTCCATACTCTGGGCACGCCTGTACCCCCATACCTAGGAAAGAGGAATGCGAAGGGATGGGGTGGACGACAAAGAAGGACAGAGGAGCAGCAGGAGGAGGAGGAGGCGCAGGAGGAGGGCGAGGAGGACGAAGGATGCAGGATGGATAAAAGGCGACGGAGCAGGAGGAGGAACGAGGGAGGAGGGAAGGAGGCAGGATGAGTCCCGCGCGCGCACAGGCTGATGCTGCTGCGTGGAGACCGGTGCCCGCGCCATGCAGGCTGCACTCCACGCTTGCACCGCCATAGGGGTCGAGGGGCCGAGAGGAGGAAGGAAGGGGAGGAAGGGGTGAGGAGAAAGGAGGGAAGGGAGGACAAGGACGGAGGAGGAGACGGGTCTGTTCTATTCTGGTTTAGCTCCGCGCGTGGTTACCAACTGGCGCGTTTCTACAACTCATAGGTCACAGAACTTCCCAACAGACTTCGGCGGGAACCAACGCCTCAAGCGGCTGAGCACATGTTTGCCAGCACGCGTGGGTGCTTGGCATTCTGCCCGCAAGGCCCGCGGGCACGGTTCAGCTATAGGATGATCCGTCCCCCTGTCCACTCCCGCCCCCCCAGGACAAAGGACATCAAGAGGAGGAGAAGGCTCCCTGCCTGGGTACGCAAATGCGACCAGAGGGGGGGGGGAGCCTGAATTTGCTGACTGATCTCAGCGCGGGGCTTGCAAACGGATGGCCGGAAGTCTGCGCGCTGGCCTCTTCGACTGAAGCTCTTGTGACACAACGCGCACTTGAACCTGGTGGCACGCAAACTACACTGATGGCCTCCGTTCTCGGAGCCTGCACAATCTTTCCTCGGCGGACCTAACACCCGCACGCCTGCGAGGGATATTCCGATAATTTCGGCCCCGGTCCGAGGCAACCAAAACTTCGCACGGGATGGAAGGGGGG